CTGGGCGACGGAGTGAGACTCCAACTCAAAAAAAAAAAAAAAAAAGAATGTAAGTAATGCTGATTTTTAATATTCTCTGACCAACCTTAGTCAAATGGGAGGAAATTGTTTTAAAACTACTTTTCGAGTTTGGGAAGATAGATATGAGTATGGAAATTGGATTTTTTTGAGGGGAGGGATAGATTATAGATGACTTTTTTACTTTCTACTTTCTTCTTCATGTTTTCTGTAATGACAAATATTTTTATAGTAAGGAAAGGAACCTTTTAAAATTATCCTTTTTCTAAAGTTTGCAATCTACCTATAAATGAGTGATTCAAAGATATAAAGATTATATTTACTATGAATTAGGGGGGTTTATTCAATGCTTCAAGCAATTTTTCTAGGAATGTTCTTACAAGTTTGTTGATACTTTTATTTTATAGATGCCCTATATTAATCTTGTGAAGCATTTAACATCTGCCTTTCCAAATGTGTATAGTATATCACGGTAAGTTTATAATTCATACCAAAACTACTAAAATTATTAATCATATTGCCAATAAATTTCTGTTCTAAATCATAGTGGGCTAGGCCATCAGATTTTATATGTTATTTAACTAAATGCCACAATATCTGCTCTATGTGATCGCTGGCTTTTCAAAAAGTAATAATATAATGAATTTGAACTCAACCCAGAACACCAAGAACATAGTTTAGTTTTTCTTTGGTTTTGTAGGTTCTCAAGGTCCTGTTTATAAAAATGATCTAATGATCTGTCATTTAGCAAGACCAGAATTCCGTATGTTTCTCTAAATTATAATAACCTCTTCAGATTCACGCTTAATTTCCAGCAAGCATTTGGGCTTAATTTTCTGTCATCTGACTCCACTACATATAAATGTATATTTAATACTTAAAAATGAAGTCATGTACATTTTTGCAGATCCAGGTTTCATCACACAACCCCTGCAGTGTGCTGTTATAGTAAAACACGCAGTGGTGAGAAATACACCGACCCTTTCAAACTTGGTTGGAGAGACTTGAAAGGTCTGTATGAGGACATTAGAAAGGTAAGTGCTTTTGATTCTACTGTGAAATAGTGTTTTAGCTAATAAAACTCAGTGAAGTTTTTAGAATTATAAAAAGACAATGCAGGCTTTTGGATATGTACAATGCCATTGGTGGGCGATACAGAGTATGTAACACATGCTACTGTTCAGAAAGAGGTTATAACAGAGTTGAGAAACTGAAAAAATGGTACAGGTAGCACAACTTGTGCAATGTGTTATGTAACCATCCTTTCCTCTCCATAGCATCGCCTCCCAGGGACTCCTGCTACTGTCTTCCTTGTCTAATTCTGAATGTCATTGCTAGACTGCCCCAAATGTGGCTTTCTTCTTTCAACTCTTTTTTCCAAAAACTTTCAGTGGCCCCCAACCTCACATAGATTCTAAAGTGCCTGGAAATGTTCATGTGCTCCGTGTCAGCTTCTTCTCCTTTTCAGGGTTCCCCACCTTCTTCCTCAAGCTCCTGGTGCACTGACTCTCAAATTCTCAAGACAGTGCCACTTCCTGTTTCACAGACAAAGTAGAGGCTGTGGAGGAAACATCCTCAGCTCCTGCTCTGTCATCATCATTGACCAGCTTGTCTGTGCCTTCCCTACATGCTTTCTTCTTTCCTCCTACTCAAGGAAGTAACATCCCCTTCTTCTCTAGGAACAGTCCCTTTGCCTCTCTTTAAGTTCCATCCCCTTTGCCTCCTCCTCAGTTCCTTAGGACCTCCCTAACAATGGCCTCCCCTCTCCTTTATCTGTAACCTCTCTTTCACATTGTCTCTTTTGCATCCTTTTGAGGTGCTCTAGTTTCTTCATTTTTAAAAGACCCATCCCCTGACCCTGTACCTCCTACCCTTCCATACTCCTACCCTTCCATTAGAGTATTCTCTGCCTGTCTCTCTCTTGTCACTTCATGTTCAGTCTACCACTGTGCTGTGGCTTACTTTCTCACCTCTCCTGAAACTGCTTTTGCCCAGGTCACTGGTAGCTTCCTTTTACTAAGTTCAATCGACACTTTCTGGCTTTCCTCTTCCTTGACTTTTGAACTTCAGACACTCGATCATTCCCTCTCCTTGAAACTCAGTTCCTTTGGCTTCCACGCTTTCCTCCCCCAGATCCTAAGGCCATTTTTTGGTTCATTACCTCCACCCCACCCCTTTAATTTTGCCATTCCTTGGGATTCTGTTGACCTCCTCTACCCTCTGTGTTGTTTATATATCTGTTTCCATACTTATGTCTCCCAAGTTATGCCAAATTATACCTCTGCTCCAGATTTAATTATTTTTCCCATACTCATATAGCTAGCTGCTTACCAGGCAACTTCCTCAAAAGTCTACAACAACCTCAAACTTAGCATAGCTGAGACTGCTTTTTCCCCACAAATTGTTTCTGTGGCCAGGCACAGTGGCTTATGCCTGTTATCTCTTTGGGAGGCTGAGGCAAGGGGCTTGCCTGAGCCCAGGAGTTGCAGACCAGCAATATGGTAATACCTCATCTCTACAATAAATCAAAAAATTAGCCAGGCATGATGGCATGCACCTGTAATCCCAGCTACTTGAAAGGCTGAGGTGGAAGGATTGCCTGAGCCTAGCAGATTGAGGCTGCAGTGACCGTGAGAAGCATGCCAGTGCACTCCAATCTGGGCGAGAGGGTGAGGTTCCAACTCAAAAAAAAAAAAAAAGTTTTTTTCTTCCTGATGTCCCTTTTCCTCAAATGTACCACCCATGAGCCTGGGAAGGATCCTCTACTCATTCCTCTCCAAGTCCTCCTAGTCTGTCTCTTGCCTTCAGACCCCACAACCATAGGCCAGGCCACTCCCATTCCTCTTGTCCTCTCATTCTTGTTCTTCTCCTCCCTATCTCTGCCCAGGCCAGAGGTTCCCCTGGTGACTGTGCTTACCTCAGTAATAGCGCCATACCTGTCACACTCTGTTGCGTTAACTGCAACGATTATTTTGCTTCTCTCCATCTAGACTCTGAGCTCTTGTAGGCAAGAATTGTCTTACTTATCTCTGTGACCTCTGTGTTTATTACAGTGCTTGGCACTGAATCAGTAATTTAATGAACTAATGATAGGCCTGCTGTGTTGTATTTACCTGCACCTGGCTGAGGGTCCATTGTTGGTTCCTGCTGCTTTCAGTGGATAAGCTCTGATTCAGACAAGCACATCCTAGAATGGCAGATACAACACACACACATCCGTCTCCTGGAAGGCTCTCCCCCTCTTCACAGTCAAAATCCTGCTTATCCTCCTGATCCCAGGTCATCACTTATTTCCTCCATAAAGTATTCGGTTTTCTAGCCCACGCTGATCTCTTCCTTCTCTGAACTTTTCATATAGTTAATATACAGCATTATTCAGGCTACCACCATATTAGTCCTTGACTATTTATACTTGTAAAATTTTTGTTTCCCCAATTCAGTTGCAAGCACCTCACAATCAGGCAAACCATATGAACCTTCAGAATGTCTTTTGCTAAATACCAAGCCAGATTGACCGACCCCTGCTTCTTTTCCCTGGTCACCATCTTACTGTCGCTAATGAACTGCTTTGCCTCCCTACCCAGGACATCCCCGATGTGTTTCATAAGCTCCCAATAACCACTGGCTCCCATCCTCCCCATTTTTCTCCTCCCTCCATCTTTCAAGCTGATAACCAACCCTTGTTCCTTTCTCTATCTAGATGTCATGAGCCCAGAGTCCCTGGGACACCCAGTGCTTTCTTCTCCCTCCTGCTCTCTCTTGTAGTCATCTGGTGTCTGATGCTGTTAGTAGGGCAGGTGGCAGTACCTGCTCCAGCACTTGGGCCATGCAGTGCTAAGCCAGGCATTGTTTGTGTTCCAACCTGCAGGACAGCCAAGTATGTGGCCTCACGACAGAGCCTTGGCCAACTGAGTGTTGAATTTATCTGTTAAAATGAATATACTGAAATCAGACCAAAGTTTTGTAAAAATAAAAATCCTGTTGACTTTCTGTGCAAGTATGATGCCATTTTGACGCAGAAACTTTATTTCAGGAACTGATCATATCTACAACAGAACTTAAGGAAATGTCTGAGTACTACTTTGATGGAAAAGGAAAAGCCTTTCGACCAATTATTGTGGTGCTCATGGCCCGAGCATGTAATATTCATCATAATAACTCCCGGTGAGCTATTTCTTTTACTCCTCTGTCATTTTATATTTGGAAAGTCTTTCTTCTCAAGGTTATGTTTTGTTTCCCATTTAAGAAGTAGCATATATCTAAAAATTCACTTTGGGATGTATAGATTCTAAGTTAGAGTCACTAAAATCACTCTGAAATCTAGTCTTCCTTTTCCAGACTTTAATGTCCATTTAAGAATAACTTTAGCTGCAAGTTAACATTTTAGAAAAATTTTAAGAGCCAAATTTAGTTTTCTTGTTAGGAAGTAACAAGTATACTAGGATGTGTAAATACATTTAATCTTTATACACATTGGGCAGTTAGTCCAAAGGTTGACTGTTACAAAGTGATGAGGTACACCTTTATTCTGGGCAACACACACCCACCTTGGGAGTGCCTACCTTCCTGTGATTTTCTGAATCGTGCAGAAGAGAAATCTTTAAAGAAGATATTTTGACGATTGATCCTCAACTCTTATGTTTTGAATATATGTAATGTTTTAAAATATTGAGACATCTGTAACATTTTAATATTAAAGGAAGTCTTTTTTTTTTTTGAGTTGGAGTCTCACTCTGTCGCCCAGACTGGAGTGCAGTGGCCACTCCCGGCCACTGCAGCCTCGACCTGCTGGGCTCCCATGATCCTTCCGCCTCAGCCTTCCAAGTAGCTGGAACTACAGGCGCGCACTACCACACCCGGCTAATTTTTTGATTTATTGTAGAGATGAGGTCTCGCCAAGTTGCCCAGGTGGGTCTCGAACCCGCGGTCTCAGGCAATCCACTCACCTCAGCCTCCCAAAGCATGGGATTACAGGCTGAGCCACCGAGCCTGGCTTAAAGGAAATCTTTTTATCAGGCACCCTCCCCCACCCCCCTGAATTAGAATAAGGGCATTCAGAGAGACTACCTTAAAGAAAATCTTAATATGAAAAAAAGTTTTTCCTATTACCTCACATCGCGATTTTCCTCATTCCTTCTTCTCCTTCACTCTTGTATTCGGACATTCAATATATTTAATTTGGCATTCTGCTTTACTTACTGCTGTTTTTTAATCTCTTTCCCACACTGCTGAAATATCACCATAATTACATTATACAGTCTATTGATGGGAATTCCAGTAGGCCATAATGTACTAATACATTTCCCTAGTGTTGAACATTTGTATTGTATTTCCTCTTCTCAGTAGATAATACCTTAATGAATACCTAAGATTTATCGGCACTGGATTTAATGATGCCTTAAGAATGACTGTCAGATACTGCTTCTTAGCGGATGCTCAATCTGCCCTCCTTGCCTCACTGCTGGGCCCTTCCATGTCTAGCACATCACACTGCTCAGGGTTGACTTCCACTCACAATGGGCCTCTCAAAGAGCTCATAGTATATTTCGAGTAAGCAGTGAAATCTCTGGGAGCAGTAAGTTCAATACTGCCCACTCCAGGGGGTGTTTGAGCTGCAGCTTCATTCTCCCTGTAAGTGACTGGAGCGGGGCTTAGTAAAGTCATCTTGCAGAGGCAGAGTCCAACATGGAGATGAAGGTCGCATTGTGGCATGGATTTGGGTGCAGGATCCTAACAATACCACTCTCCAAGTCCCAACTTCTTGAAAATACTTGCTACCTAAGGACCCTTTTGAATCAGACACTTAAGTATCTAGCTATTACTTCGATGTCCCTTCAAAGCAAGAAGAGCAGGGGCTTTTAGAGAGCTGGGCTGTTGGTGAATTTGCTTGCTGAGAAAGGCTTAGGACAGTAATGGCAGCTGAAGATTCAGGAGCAGGACCCTGCACAGCCTCTGTTCAGCCACTGCCACTAGAGGCTCCTCCAGCCCCAGTGGCACCAGAACTCATTCCTGAACTTGACATGCTTTCTTGTTAGTGATGGCACAATTGAGAGAGACCGCGTTATCATTTGCCAAAAGTTTAACAGCCGCCATGTGGCTGATCAGATATCTTCCTTGCTCCAAGCTGTGCATTAAATAGGGGATATTAGAAACAGAATTTTGGAGGGGACTTTAGAAAACAGAATTAAACAGATGTCTTAAGAAATTGAAAAGGGGAGAAACTACCTTATTGATTGTTCTCTTTTACTTCACTAAGTCTTTTTGTTGTCCATGCAATGTTCCCTGCTAGATTATTGGGAGTTCTTAACCTAAGATCCATGGAGCTCTGACGGTCTCTAAACCCCTTGAGGTGGTATGCAAAAATTTTTGTGCATTGGCTTTTTTCTGGGGAAGTGTTTCCATGGCTTACAATATATTCTCAAGGGGTAATATGGCCCTGAAAATCTTAAGAGCCAATCTTTGTTTCCTCCATCTATCCCAATAACCACAGTACCTGGCTGGGGAAAGTAGAAATGCATACAGCAGATGACTTGGACTCGGAATGTCCAGAAAACAGAGTTGTGGTGGATTCTGAGACATGCTTTCAGACCCCCTTCGATGCAGAGCTCTATACCCCAGCTGCTGTGCCAAGTACTCATGGTGCCTATTGTCCTTCACTTCTCAGCCCCTTCAGGGCTTGCTTTGGCTACAAGAATATCCTCACCTTAGGCTGAGACCCTTCTCGAGGCAGCCTTCATCCAGAGACTGGCAGATGAAGGAACGTTCTAGCTCGAGTGCCTTACGGGGTGTCTGAGGCTGTCTAAGGGTCTGCATTGCCGATCGGCTTCTTCTTCTCAGTCCCGATCCCTTCCTTTCTCCCTCCCTCCTTCAGATGTCCATCCCAAGGGCACGCCTGAGTCAACATCCTGTATGTTTAAACTTTGTCTCAGAATCTATTTCCTGGAGAACCTAACTTGAAACAGAGTTCAGCAAAACCCAAACTAGGGCAGGACTTATTTCACCAGAGAGTCCAGGTCAAAAAAGAGCTTTATATTAAATAAGTTTCTACAAAATCGTTCCATTTGTTGAATACAGCACAGCTGTGGTGGCTACATCTTTCTTAAAAAACTAAACTTAACCTGCTGCCCTGCTCAACAGCCTCCCTGAAGGGACCTGCTGTTATCGTTGGCACCTGGATCTTGGAACCCTCTGTTCCTGTGTGAAACTCAAACAGCATTGGGAAGTGAATACCATTGCCGACAATCAAGATAACAGGATTACCCAAGTTACGTTGTTCACACATCTGTTGGTCCTGATTATACCAACAGTCAAGTGGCATTGGATCCCACTAGTCCAGTTTTTAAAACTGGACTAGATGATTAGATGGACGGATTATAAGATGCAGCTGTCATATTAGATAATTGGTCAAGAGTCAGGTGTGATAAAAATTCTATATACAGAGAAGGTAACTTTTATAACTCTATAAAGACTAAGGAAATTACCAAAGCCTACCCTGGAAAGATGAACAAAATAAGTATTTTGTCCATTAAGTATTAAGTATGACTCATGTGAACTGATTCCCAAGGTCAGGTTGCTAACAATTCTAGAACCATTCTTGGTTTCTGTATGTTCTGAATCATTAAACCAGCTAATGATGCTGCTGTTTATGGGATAGGCAAGAAAGTTGGTGCCAGAAGAATTGTTCTTGTCATTAACCTACAAGATGGCACTTTTGATGTGTCCATACTCACTATTAAAATGGATCTTGAAGTACAGTCTGCCAAAAGAAATACCCACTAAGGGACACCTACTGAGCAGATGTTCATCATTGCATCAGTGAGTTCAAAGTCAAGCATAAGAACATCAGTGAGAGCAAGAGGGCATATGAACATGGTATGTGTACCCTTTTCAGCACTCACCTCACCAGGACGAGGCTGATTTTTGTCTGCAAAAGAATCAACTTCTACATTTTTATTATCCGTGCCCAGTGTGAAAAACAGAACACTACATTATTCTGTGGAGATCCTGGATCCTGTGGAGAAAGCTCTGCACAGAACAACTGGATAGGTTGCAGATCCAGGACATCATCAGGGAGAGGTCACTCTTCATGTAGCCCAAGATTTAAAAGCTTCTACAGTGCTTCTTCAGTGGCAAGAAAATAAACACTAGTGTGAACCCCTGCATCATTTATGATACAACTTTGTAGGGATCTGTTTTATCTGGAGCTAATTCTGAAAGTATTCAGGAGTTGCTGCTTTTGGATGTTAGTTCTTTTCTCTTGATATTAAAGCTGCTAACAAATCGATGACTTTTATGATCAAGCTTTAAAAAAAAAAATCCCCACCAAAGAGAGACAGACTTCACTCCAAGCCTGGTGTGCTTCTCTAGGCTTAGGTAGATGAATGGGCAGTGACCACAGATGATGGCTTGCAAGTCTGAGCTTTTTACAAAAATCCCATGTAAACTAGGAGAAAGGTCCATGGGGGAATTGTTTCATTTATTTTTATGTATGTTTGAAATTCTTAGAAATGAATGTTTAAACTGATGAAGAAAAAAAAATGTCCTCAGGGGCTTGCTGAATCCAAACATACTCTCACAGGTGTGAATTATAGAGGACATGGCCACTTTCAAGACTAAGGGCTGCTTTTTCTATGCCTCCTTGCCTGTCGCCTCTTTCAGAAGCTGGGAAAGTGTGGCATCTGTTTCACAGTAGGAAGTAGAAATGATGCCCAACTTTTTGAAGGTGTGATTCTATTTGGCATTTTGGAGCTGTCGTCTTAAAGACAGTGTGGGGTTTTTCTGCAATCTGTACATTTTGGTCATCTGTCCCACTGTTATGTTATGGATAATCAGTGGCAATATTTTCTAGATATAAGCTGACACACCTTAAAGCCTACTTCTATAGGAAAAAAGAAATCATAAAATTATGAGGCATCTCTAGCCAGGCTTGGTGGCTCAGCCTATAATCCCACACTTTGTGAGGCTGAGGTGAGTGGATTGCCTGAGCCCGTGGGCTCAAGACCCACCTGGGCAATTTGGCAAGACCTCATCTCTACAATAAATAAAAAAAAAAAAAAAATAGACAAGAGTGGTAGCACGCACCTGTAGTTCCAGCTACTTGGAAGGCCGAGGCAGAAGGATCGCCAGACCCAGCAGGTCAAGGCTGCAGTGGCCAGGAGCGTGCTACTGTACTCCAGTCTGGGCAACAGAGTGGAGCTCCAACTCAAAAAAAAAAAAAATTATGAGGCACCTCAAATATGTTTATTCTGTGTAGAGGCTGTGTCACAGTGCCAAATGACATTCTAAGCAAGAATCCTAATTTTGTTCATCACTATTTAGCCATGCAAAATGATATCTTTATATACATATAGTCTATGAAATTTCCAGATACTTTCAGAAATCTTTGTTTTAATAGCTTCAAATTACAAAAAAAACTCTAGTGTCTCAGAGAACGCTGCCATTTTGCTGCAACTTCTCAGCAGGAGCCCCTGTCTGTGACACAATTTCTGCTGATGGAAGTGGTGTCCAACTTATGAATGCATGAGAAAGGCTAGAGGCCTTGACAGTTGTTTTAAGGTAAGTTCTACTAGTAGGCAGTGTGTCTTTTATTAGCTTGAAATTCACTTGAGAAAATATTCTTAATAATAGCCTTTATATTAACAAAAAAACAACTGTAAAAGTCTACATCTTTTCCTGTGCATTCACCTCAAAGGAGATAGGGCCTGGTAAATTTACGGAAAATATTTAGGCTTCCTTACCGGGCGTGGTGGCTCACGCCTATAATCCTAGCACTTTGGGAGGCAGAGGCAAGAGGATTGCCTGAGTCCAGGGGTTTGAGATTCGCCTGGGGTGTGGTGGCACATGCCTGTAGTTCCAGTTACTTGGAAAGCTGAGGTTGAACGATTACCTGAGCCCAGCGGGTCAAGGCTGCAGTGGCCATGAACGTGCCATTGCACTTCAGCCTGGGCAATAGAGTGAGACTCCTACTCAAAACAAACCAAAAAAATATTTAGGCTTCCTAATGTAAGGATCAAGTATCTCTCTGAGGGATTCAGAGCACACTCTTTAAAGCCATCTGAGCCTCTATTTTCTCTTTTACTGAGGTAGTTTTTATATGATAATTTGTCTCTAGCCTCCATTGCTTTTGCTTTACTTCTTCCTCTTTTGAAGAATCTGTTGATATGGAAATATTAAGAACTGTTATCATTGTGAAATATTAATAAATAATGAGTAGCACTTTATAATTGATTTCCAGGCTGAAAGCAGTTGGAAGGTTCTAGGGTTTGGTTCTAAGGCCTTACATAAGAGGAGCTAGCAAGGAGTCATATTTTAAAATTATATTTAAGGCAAGATCAGAAGATCTCATGCTGATTTAATGGCTATAGTTAAATTGCAGTATGGTTTATATACTTATACTTCATTTTTCATTACTTTCTGCTGGGTCTAAGGAATTACAATGAGTATCACCTTATGCAGATGTTCAGATTAGATTTTTAAAGAAAAAGTCATATTTTAGTATCCCACTCCATTTTCTCCCCTCTAAGATATAACCTGATGATATTTGAAAAGTAAGCTGAATAAATGAAACATTGGTCTAGTGTGTGTTTAAGTCAGGCACATTTTTACGTTCCAAAAATTCAGTTGGTTATTTCCCCAGGTTGACTTTATTAAAATTCAGTTTTTAAAAATTCCTATAGATGATGACGGTGAAAATGATAATGATTTGAAAGAAGCTGAGGATAGTACCTTTTAACTGCAAAATTCACACCTCTATATTTACTATCTTCTTGAGAGTGCTTATCCTATAGTTTGTGTTAAACTTGAAAAATACAAGTTTACTTTTTTTTTTGAGTCAGGGTGTCACTCTCACCCAGGCTGGAGTGCAGTGGCATGATCATGGCTCACCGCAGCCCCCAACTTCTGGGCTCAAGCAATCTTCCCACCTCAGCCTCCGAAAGTGCTGGGGTTACAGTCATGGGCCACCATGCCCTGCCAGAAGTTTAAATTTCTAATACAAAAGTTAAATAGGAATTGGAAGAAAATTTTTACAAACATTTTGTCTTGGTTATTGAGGTTGTCGTACTAAGAATTTAATAGCGAAAGCTCTGAACATTGTAACAGTTGGGTCTTTAATACACTTTAAAAAAATGCCTCTCACCTATCTTCCCCATCCATTCCTGAAATTTAATTGTAGCTAATTATAAACTTCCACAACTGACCAAGACCATTATTATAAAGAGAACTCTTCAGCCCAGTGGCCAGACTTCTGAGATGCTTACTCTTTTTTTGTTAGCAATGCAAATTCTACTTCTTAATGTGGAGCCTATAAATTATTATCTTGACAAGGTTTCTTGTACATTTTAAAATGTTCTGCAAATGATAGAAGTGGCTCTGTAGGGAAACGAATGTTTTTATACAGTTTCTCTTAGAGAAATAAAATTCTTTATCCTAGATCCGATGTCCAGTTTTCACAAGGTGATTGCTGAGAAGGTTCTAGGCGGCGTCTGTTAAAAAGCATTGCTTTCTGTTAATTAGAGATGTGCAAGCCAGCCAGCGCTCCATAGCCTTAATTGCAGAAATGATCCACACTGCTAGTCTGGTTCATGATGATGTTATTGATGATGCAACTTCTCGAAGAGGAAAGCACACAGTTAATAAGATCTGGGGTGAAAAGAAGGTATGATTTTATCTATTTATTTATTAAATCTTTCTTACTTAATCACATGCTTTTTGGATTGCATTTGCTTTTTAAATTTGTCTTGTTAAAAAGTAAGATATGTTTATTCAAATGTGGTCTTCTAAATTTCAAAAATATTCTTGTCTGTATACAAATATTGATAGATAATAGAAAATATCATAGAAAATTAAACTTAGTATGTCTAGTTATTCACAGTTTCATATAGAAATCCTTTGGTTCGAGGGGAAGGGATTTTCATTAGTATCCAAAAAAGAACTATACATCTTACTTTTGGACTCAGATTACCCAGATTCTGTTTAATTTCTTAAACATTTGTTGATTAACTGCCACATGTAAGTGTCAAGGCAAATATATAAAAAGAAAAGAAAAAAGAAACCTCAGGGGATACTGTTCTATTCTACCATGAAAATCTTACCTTTTGAAATAGAAGTTCTATAATTGAGTTTGGCTTATATATGTATATTTTAAAGCATTTTTTCATATTTTATTAGCGTGCCTTGGAGGGAGTGTGTGAAATAGAGATTTTGTTTGAGAATATGTAAATTCTGGGTGAAGAGTGGGAATAAAGTTGAACAAATGAAAATGAAGATACACGGACCTTCTGAGAGGATGTGTCCTCTACCACACACGTCTTCATTGACTGACTTGCCCAACTGAAGAACAGAGTTAATGCAAATGTAACTCACCCTCCCTCACAGAGTTCCTTCCTGTTTTATTGTCCCTATTAAAAGAAGAAATACATATATCCATTGTTATCTTCACATGCTAGTTTTAACATCAGTGGCATTGTTGTGAAATTGGGTCCTGCAGTGTCATTTATATGCCTTTTATTTCAAATGTTAGATTTAAAGATTTTATGTCTTATTGACTGAATTCCATTCATCGGAATGTTGGCAAAAAGTGAATGGAGTTTTGTTTAGGAGAGGACATGGGTAACTTTATGACTTGTCCCTGCAGTCAGCTATGTCTGTTTTTCAGGCAGAGCCAACCTAAAGCTTTGTTTGGAGTCCTTGGGCTGGGGAAGAGGATCAAGAGCACAAATGGTGTTCTTCTTGGCTAGCCTCCTACGTGCCTGTCTCTTTCTGAGGGCAGGTAAATGACGCGTGTGCCACCCTCACCTGCCTTTCAGCTCTGATAGTGATCTGCCCAGCACAGGGCTGCCTGCCAGGCACCTCCTTTTTCTGCTTCTAAACCACAACTACTGTGTTGCTGGTGCAAATATCCACTCCTCCCAGGGCCCTCTCCATGAGGCCTTATTAGCCTTGGCCTGGGCATCCCCACCCTTCCTTTAACTCCTCGCCCCTAGCCATCCATAGTCTTGTGACTTCAGTTTTATTTGCTGGAAGCTTTTGGTCTCTAGGATCCCTGGGGCCATGAGGAGAAATTAATGAAGGCTTAGGGATCTTGAGCCCTGAGCGGCTAATGATACTAGGATAGTTGGGTGGATATGTACGTGTGTACATATATATAATAATGTGTAAAACAACTGTGTAAGTGTATGCTTATGTTAGGATATCTTTTATAATATGGATATTATATAGAGTGGTGATTAATTGGTGACATCACTATTTTAGATACTAGATAACTAACAAGTAATAGATACCTAAAATGGTTAAGTCAAAAGTTCTGTGAACCCTAACATTTATGGCTAATTATCAGAGAATATAACACTTGCTTTAAATATGCAGATTAATATGAATGTATAGTATATTTGATTACAGCATATAATTCAACTGCATATATGGTAATTTATAACTAGTTGCTGATACCATGTGGACATCCACTCACAACCTAAAGAAGACTGGAAAAATATTGATTACCTAGTGTTCAGTGAAAAAACTGTTGTCTAGGTATGAGAGTAGTGTAAATAGTGCAAAGAGCATTGAACTTGGAGCCAAAATTCCTTGGCATAGTTTTCATTGGAAATAATGTGCCATGCCTTGCATTAGGGTATGCTAGGTACTAGCTGAGATGATTGTGAGTGTGAGAGCTGCAGGGTGCATGGAATGTCGTGCTCACACAAAAGGGAGGCATTTAGCCAAGCGTGGTGGCTCACGCCTGTAATTCCAGCATTTTGGGAGGTGGAGGAGAGAGGACTGCCTGAGCCCAGGGGTTTGAGACCGACCTGGTCAACTTGGGGAGACCTCATCTCTACAATAAATCAAAAAATTAGCCGGGTGTGGTGCATGCGCCTGTAGTTCCAGCTACTTGGAAGGCTGAGGCAGAAATATCACCTGGGCCCAGCAGGTTGAGGCTGCAGTGGCTGTGAGCATACTGCTTCGCTCCAGTCTGGGCAACAGAATGAGACTCCAACTCAAAAAAAAAAAAAAAAAAAGGAATCATCTGACTATTCTGAGGGATCAGGAGAGACTTCCTGGAGGTGGCATCTGAATTAGCTAAGCAAATGAGCCCCCAGCGTGAAGAAGGGGAGGGACTTTTTGAGCCGAAGGAAAGGTAAGTGGGAAGGCAAGAGGCATGGTTTAGGGAAGAACAAATGGGCCCCCTGTAGCTAAGCTGAAGGCAGCTGCATCTTGGTGGGAGTTGGGAGCTGAAATGAGGGAAAGCTGCCCTTCCTGTCTAGGCATTCATTTCTGCAGCTATAAATTAGAGAGATAGACACGGTCATTTCTGAGAGCTAGTCCTGTTCAAACACTGTGCGAAATGCGTTACGGAAGCCTGCTGAAGAGGAGGAAGGGGAAGAAACATCCAGGATGACCCTTCCGTTCTCTATTTCTCTTCTGACAAGTCAGCTTCATCACTGGCTGCGCTGCTCTGATCTTTTTCTCTGAACATTCTCTCCTCCTCTTTTTTTTAGGCTGTTCTTGCTGGAGACTTAATACTTTCTGCAGCATCTATGGCTCTGGCACGAATTGGAAATACAACTGTTATAACTATTTTAACCCAAGTTATTGAAGATTTGGTGCGGGGTAGGTTGATTCTGGCTTTTTTTTTTTTTTTTGGTATCCAGCCTTGGTATTCAGCCAGGCAAAAAAATCATATCTCAAATTATTGCTTTCCTTGTTTGTAGGTGAATTTCTTCAGCTAGGGTCAAAAGAAAATGAGAATGAAAGATTTGCACACTACCTTGAAAAGACCTTCAAGAAGACTGCAAGCCTGATAGCCAACAGTTGTAAAGCAGTATGTACGTTCTGTCTTTTTTCAAGTTAAAAAGCCCATAGCTCTTTAAAGGGAGCTAAATCTAGAAACATTTAATTGGAGAACCTTAAAATAGTATCCAAAGTCCCAAGAGGTCAATGAGGAAAGAATTACATACCTAAATAACAGAGAACATGTGCTGTGGATTTCATTTTTGCCATCTTGGGGATGTGCAAGAGTTAACTTTTCATCTTTTCTTCCCAAGAATTGAGTCAAGATAAGCTTTTTAGTCTATTCCCCAATCTAATGCCCAACTGTGTAACATTTTGAATAACTTACCATAAATAAATGCCCTCATGATTTTTGTCAGACACACGATTTTTGACATTTCACCTTTAAAAAGTGATGAAATGCTATGTTCTTAAATATAATATTTATCAGCCGGGCTCAGTGGCTCAGCCTGTAGTCCCATGCTTTGGAAGGCTGAGGTGAGTGGATTGCCTGAGCCCACGGGTTCAAGACCCGCGTGGGCAACTTGGCGAGACCTCATCTCTACAATAAATCAAAAAATTAGCCGGGCGTGGTAGCGTGCACCTGTAGTTCCAGCTACTTGGAAGGCTGAGGCAGAAGGATCACCGGAGCCCAGCAGGTCGAGGCTGCGGTGGCCAGGAGTGTGTCACTGCACTCCAGTCTGGGCCACGGAGCAGGACTCCAACTCAAAAATATATGTGTGTGTATATATATATATATATATTTATTCAGAAGAAAATATCTAACAATTAGATTGTACTAGTATTCTATATACTTTTGGTGAGTAGTAGATCCTTCTAATAACTAATTGAAATAAGCATAAGCCGTATTTCTGCGGAGTATAAATTGATCATAAACCATAACTATTTTCCCCTTGCTTTCTCCCTGGACTTCCCTCTTCTCTGCATGTGTGCGTGTATGTGTGTGTGTGTGTGTGTGTGTGTGTGTGTGTGTGTGTGTGTGTGTGTGGGTATACATATATATGAGGGCGGGCCCCTTGTAGTACAGGTTTCTCCCATTAGATTAGTATCCATTGGCATCAGTGTACGATGTAGCATTGTTGTGAGAGGCTATGTTTGGCTTCCGTGAATTGTTTTTTGGAACTTGCCCACACTGCATTGAGTGAGTGATCAGCAGTTTTTGACCAAAAAACAGCATGATCCCGTGCCCCACCCTCCCAGTTCACCTAGTCTCGCTCCAGGTGACTTTTTTTCCCCCCTGGATGAAAAAAGTCCTCAAAGGAAAATGTTTTGCCTGGTGGGAAAGGTGAAACAAAAAACAGCAGAAGCACTAAAAGACATCAAAATGTACCAGTTTAAAAGCTTTCGAGCCGTGGAAAATCATCTCGTGAGGTGTATTGCATCAGATGGAGGGTACTTTGAAGGTGACTAAAAGTTAAACATGTAAGAATAAACACATACTTGTTAATAAATAAATTATTTTTTTAAGATGTGTGGTATTCAGTGTTAGTTCATGAATGGTAAACAAATCTCTCCATAGAGATTTCCATCTGGCCATCTCTCAGCCCAACAGATGCACAGAGATAAGACCAGGCAGGACACATTACAGTATAATTAAAGCCACAAGAGAAGACTTAGAGTGAAATGTAAATTGCTGTCATGATATATTCTTAACATAATTACAGTTAAAGAGAGCTTTTTCTCAGACCCCTCAGGTGAAAAAAACTCCTTGCTAATAGTGTCTCTGTTTTGAAAGGTGTCAAGGAATGTGTAATTGTGAGCCAGAAATGAGGACATTTTCTTCCTAAAAAGACCTAATTGAAACTCGAAGGAATGTGAATTATGTAAAACATGGCAGCCACAATCTCAGCCAGTTTTGTTGTTTTATTTCCAGGAAATTGTGTGTTTTTTATTTTTTATTTTTATTTATTTATTTTTTTTAGTTGGAGTCTCACTCAGTCGCCCAGACTAGAGTGCAGCCTCGACCTGCTGGGTTCCGGCGATCCTTCCGCCTCAGCCTTCCAAGTAGCTGGAAATACAGGCACGGGCTACCACGCCTGGCTAATTTTTTTATTTATTGTAGAGATGAGTTCTCACCAAG